ATTTGTCTATGTTATCTTCTCTTAGGCTGACTACCGTGGAGGAAGCACAAATCGTATGCCCCGCTTATAGCTGCGACGTCTGTCAAGTATCGCGGGCTGACCCGCCGCATGCGACGGCTGCGGCGTGACCTAGTTTCGACGGACACGCGCAACGAAGCGCACCCATCTTCACCCAGACTTATTATCGAGTACACATGAAAGACGAAGATGACGATGATTACAAATATTATTGGTTACACTAAAACCCAAAAGGAAATCTTCCAATAAGGAGGAACAGAAGAGATATGAGCATTTGAAAGCGTAGAAAAATGCACTCAAAATTGCTTAAATTACTATTTGTTCACCGGTTTGACCGGCCCACGCTGACTCCCTACACCCAATAACCCTGGCTTTTAAATGGAAAATTATTGAATATGGCGGTATTCCTATTTCTATGACCTAGCCTAACAATGCAGTAGGGAAAACTTACCTCAATGATTCCGTCGACAATTTTGAGACCGAGCGCTACCGATCCGATGCCGAACACCCTTAATTATTACTTTAGCCCTGCTCGAATCATTGCTTCGAGAGTTCAAATGCTAAGTTCGTAGAACATATCAAATAAAATTCCATTAGGTAGTCATGACAGATAAATCTGCTTTGACTTTATAGATGGATATAGAGCTACTCGAACTTAAATTTACTGGTAACAGTTGTACATATTTTGCAGTGTCTGTTCAATATTCGTGATAATACATTTTTGATATCGAGTATTTTTACAGCTTCATCCCATGCGTAATCAAAAATGCAAATACAGAGATACCACAAGCAGATACTGGCGTGTGGGCACATGAAATAACCCGTGCAGATGCAGGAAAAAAGGACGAATACATAAAATATAAAAAAGAGGACAAAAACACAAAAATTAGACTGTAGAAGAGAAAATAATGATTAAAAAATCGATAAAAATTGTAAGAGCTGTACAGAAAACAAATAAGAACTTGTCCGCGACTCTGAGAACACTACAGTAACCCGAAATATTACTAAGTGATACCCTAGAATTTACAAAAATATTGTTTTACATTAGAGATAGTTCAAGTTTGAATCAATGCAGAACGAAATCTTATGGATTTCACTTGGCATAAACATCGGGCAACAATTAAAATTCTTTTTCTTCCTCTTTGATCGCATTATGGAACAGCTTCGAATCTTCCAAGTCCAACAACCTTCCATTGATATTTCCTGCGGTAGAATCAAGCTGAGAAATCTAAACACATACAAAGCTGAAAAGCCGAGAAAAAAAGGATTGGGGTTCTCAAATTACAAGCTCACCTTTTCACTCAACTCCACAGAGGATGAACAGTTGAGCAGTGTCCCGGCAAAGATTGGCGCTTTCAAAGCTAAGACTCTGTTCTGGGCATCACCGCGAACACTTCCTTCATCACCACCTTCTTCATCATAATCAATAGACATTGAAGATCCCACCAGAAGTGATGCAGCGGAAATTGATGAGTCATCGAAATTGTATTCAGTATTCGACTGTTGCACTCCATTAACACTGGATCTGCAACATCAGAGATTCCTAGTTGCATTCATGTTGACAAGGCAGTATCAAAGCGTGACTTTATGTACATCCATAGGGCTGCTTTCATAGTCCACGATTTGGCACGCGAGCGAGCGACCGAGCAACTGGGGCGACACTTGTTCCTTGTTTACAACGGGAGCCGGTCGTTTGGCGCGATGGGCGGGTTCGCGCCGCCCATTTGAGGCGGCGCGACTCCGCCCATCGCCCCTTCAACTCATTCAGATCGCGTAATCTTCNATGGGCGGCGCGACCCCGCCCATCGCGCCAAACGACATACACCCTTTGCAACTGAAGCATAGTCGATACCGCGGGCAAGCGCCGCCCCAATAGCTCAGTCGGTCGGTCGGTCGGTCGGTCGCGGGCCAAATCGCGGACTATGAAGGCAACCTAGGGAGCGGTTTGTGTTTTACCACATGATTAGAAAAACTTCAGATTTGGAGAATGAGGTGGAATCGAAAAAAGCAAATGAAGAGAAGACTAGTATGCATTCAATGAATTGTCTTTCTTCAAATCGGAAAGCAAAGTTTACTGAAAGTTATGAAAGATTACTAACATTTGTACTGTACATATACACAAGCATCTAATAGATATTCTACGGGGCTACTCAATCAGGCAGCAAAAATGTTGAGAATGACAACAAGAAAGGAAAACAAGTGAAAAAGTCCAATGAGTATGAATAGAACTCACCCAGCTTCGGCAGTAGAAACGCCCATGTTTTTCAGCTTGCGCCGTTGTAAGTTTATACTTGCCATGACGTTTTTGATATCACTTGAAGAAATCCAATGAAGTTTAACACTAGGATCCGTATACTTCTCGCGAATTCTTTTCCGGATAGTCTTCGAAGGGAGTCCCTGTTCCAGATATTGTGCGATCAAATTTTTGTCGGATTTGGAGAGTGGTAACGAAACTGCATCAAGATCATGACCAATATGCTTCGTGCAGAACTTTACAAGAATTCCACCGCTTCTAGCAATATATTTCTGGAATCGTGCATTAAAATGGACAGTGTTACTTGGAAAAAGAGCACACCCGTACCTGCAAAAACGAAGTGCAAAAAGGCGTGACTACTTTGGTGTGGGGGGCGACTTTACCCTTGCCACGTAGACGGCGTAAACCTGACCTGAATATGATCAAACTGTTTGAAGCCTAAGGAGTAATTTATATTCAGCAAAATAAACTAACCGCATTTACCTGCTGCATTTGTAATACACAACATCGTCCCTTCCTTTTTGCTTTCTCCCCGAAAGATGCCAGAACGTAAGGAATTTTTTCTCGGTAGCCTCTTTCCACGCCTGTAGCAATTAATAATAGTAAGGAACAACCGATGCCTGTAATAAACAGTTATGGGTCCTTTTGATCAAAGCTTACTTCGAATTCCATATCGTTGTCGAATGATCGCTCCTCGACAACGCAGGCTTCATCATCATGATGTAGTCGGCAATGATTGACAAGATCTTCCTGATTGGTAAGCCTCAGCTGACAAATTGGGCACTCAGTCAGACGACGGCCCTTCTTGTTCGCAGCAATATGCGTTGTGCTCTTATGTTTTCCCAAGTCCGCTCCACTTCGAGTGATATATTCACAGCCACTCACATCGCATTTGTACTGCTCACCTTCCGGAGTGAGTTCTCCCAGTTCAGCAGCCTCCTGACCATTCTCCTCGCCACAAACCTCCATGATGTGCTCAACAAACTCAGAGGTTCAATTATCCAATCACCGCGATATCGACATTGTAACTTCCAGTAAAGTGAAGAAGTTCCAAGTAGGTTAGAATGTCTTAAACGGAATCAATTTCCCTGAAATCAAGTATAGAAACTGCGAAAAGAAGACTTGACGAAAATTTACGGAGCAATCTCTTCTTTTCACAAGTTGGCAGACACCATCAACATTCAAGATCATGGATCACCCTGCATGGTAAAAACAAACGTAACTCCCAATGACCAGGAATAATCGGTGTTCGGTAGTACACGTCAAAAGTACAGCTCACAAAAACCCATGTTTTAGAATTCCTCTGAGATTTTCATGATTACATTTGGCAATCTCGAAACGCTCTTCCACAAAACCAGCACCAAGTAGTACTCAACAAACACTTCCAAAACAGGATAAACAACAAATCACGGTGCAAAAGCACTAGGAGATGTTGTGCGTTACGTCTCAGCAATGTCATTTTAGGAATGTACTCAAACTGGAAGGAGGCGCTTTACAACAATTGTCCAGGGATTTGGTATATTTATCCGAAAAGAATGTCCTTTGCGTTTGGAACTACACAGATGAAACAATCATAGCAAGGAAAGCCTGGTGAAAATGAAGTAGGAGTGTAGGACACCCTACTCTTTCATACTAGGCGTTGAGGCGTAGAAAAGAAGGGTTGGAAGGGGTTGCCGTCTTTGCGGGCCCGTGCTGACGCTCCTCGAGCGAGCATAAAGCGCTAGCACGTTACCACATACATGTGGTCAACTGGATGTACAATTCTTCCCTGATCCCTGCTTTTTGCACGACGTAATCATTTCACCACCCTTGGGGCTCCTCCCCTTTTGAAGCTTAGTTGAAACCAGTTCCCCTGGTTAAAAACGTTTCCAAGCAGCATCACAGGTCTGCAGAGCCGGCTACCCCTCCTTGCCCGCGCTTCGAAGCCTAGTGTTGATGAGATGAAATGTCTTCCTCACAGCTCAATTGCATCTACACCACGGGTATGGGTACTTACGTGCGTCCGAGGATGGGCGCGGCAAATTGCGCGGCGAAGTGCGTGGTGATTCGAAGGACTCTGGCGCCTATCATTTTGGCCCAAACTCGAAGTAGAGTAGTTTAGAAGGGTCAGCTGATACTAATGATCTACTCTACTTCAAATTTGATCCCCAATGATAGGCGCCAGAGCCGTTCGAATCCCCACGCACTTCGCCGCGCAGTTTGCCGCGCGCATCCTCGGACGCACGTAAGTTCCGTCCCCCCTACACCACCTCTTTTCGCAGTAGAAACCTTTAGAAGGTCGGTTCCATTGATGACTGTAGTTCAAACCAGTGCAAACAGATTTCGGTGTTTTTTTTTTGTTTATTTTTTGCAAAGACTCGACAAGGAAGGAAGAGTAGAAAATCAGCAGAAAACTTCGGAGTGCAGGAGAAAAGACAGTAGAGACAGTAGTAGGATCAGATCCGATTGCCTGCTCATCTGCTCCCTCTCGCAGATAAGCAGTAGTTCATAGAGTTCAGCGTTGAGATCGGTGACGCTGGGAGCCGGTCGTTTGGCGGCGTTTTCACGCGAACTAGTCTGCATGGGTCTACGTTTTTACGGATGTATCGGCGTGAAACGCACCTTCTATAAACGTGCCCACTCAAGATAGCGCTGACGGCTGTCGCCAAATTTTTCGCTCTTCATTCGAGAACCTCAAACTGTTGGTGCTAGACAACTAGCTGATCGCCCATGGTGGTTTGAAGAAATCATGGCCACTAGATAGCAGACTTTTTCAATGTTTACTATATGCTTCTATGCTCGAGAAACTGTAGCACAACCCTTTAGCAGTAAGACAAAATGAAGAGCGAGGTCACCATTCATACTTTGTGGAACTCTACCTCGCTTACGACATTTGTATGGCGTTCTGCAACACTATAAATGCTACGTTGAATGAAAAGATCACAGTCAGCTTTGTTAGACTTATTAGAAAGCATTTTTGCATTCACTATTTCAAACGTCCAATTTAGNCCGTTTATGAATGTACTCAGACAGCCTCATACGCATAAATTCATGATTCCGCCGTAAATTAAATTGGGCCCGCCGGTTTCCACCAGACTGACTCGGTGTGCAATCAGAAGCACAGTTTCAGATCAATGGGGACTAATCCTGCAAAAACAGTGCTAATTGATGACCCAGAGCTTTCCTCATCGAAAAGCGGTGGAATGAAGCCACCAGCTCAATCCCGTACACAAACTAGGATTCGAACATTCATGTCGATTTTTACATGGGAAAAGTTCAAGAAAAATCCTGGTAAGTCAGGGCTTTTTTACTACTCACCCATGCTATTTTTTAGTCAAAGACCACTTTCCTTTCATTTTTTTTTGTTTGAATATTTTTATTGACAGATCTCTATAGAAAAGCTATTGCCAAAATTGTGGACGACCAGATTCGCCATGCACAGAGTGAGTTCAGAGCTTCTTTTCTATGAATTGTGCGGTAGGGTTCCGTTATTTAATTACTCTCAATGTCAATATTATGATTATCAAACTACCCAAAATATTCGATAGTCGTTCTCCAGCAGTTACGAACTTACTGCAAGAGCTTGAACCTGAACTCCGTCGTCAAGAGCGAGAACTGGGTTTGTTGAATATCAAATGTCAAACGTTATATGAACGGCTTCGCTTCATCCGACAGCTTCGTGAAAAGTTAGTATCTTTTAGAAAAAAAAAGGTTTTCATTGTTCGATTCCACAGGGAAAATATTCATTCCAAATGAAATTTTTTTCCAGCGCTGATGCTGTCATCCGTAACTTCGATCTCACTACAGGGAAAAGTTTAGAAGAAGTTGTAGCGGTAAGTGTTAATTTAGTGCTAGAGCGCACGAACACATAAAGCACATATTAAACTCAGTTCATATTGGTAAACTGTCAAATAATACCTCTGATTTTGATATGAAGTTCCAAATAAAGACAGCTATGTACTAAAAATAGTTTAGCTATAGGCTGGTATTTTTTGGAATCCTGAACAGGTCGCGGTCGCGTTTTCTCAGAAAAAAAAACAAAAGAAACACGAAAAGGACAACCATTCAAGCTCCGTTAGTCGCCGTTCGAACCTTGGAGTTATAGAAGAATAGGCAAATTGTGAGAACAAATAGATAAGATAAGAAATGAGAAATGCTGAATGTTGCTCAGAGAAGGGTGAAAAGTTTGAAGCTGTAGGATATGGAAGCAGCAGCTGCTCGTGGAAGACACAGCGACAGATATCTCGCACAAGCCTGGCCGAGAAATCGTTACGATTTTACAATTGGGTGCTAATTTTATCAATGGCTAGCCTTCTCATGATTGCATTATTATACTTACTAGTTCATTGGCGCTTGAGAGAATCCTATGTCTTCGAAGCCAATAGTAGAGATATTTGCATGTTTTCAACACCTCTCCTTCATTTTCGAACAACAGTTTTTTGAGGAAGCGCCACCATTGCTCAAAAATGCTGTAAGATTGCATCAAATCCGTTGGAGAAATGCAAACGCTTCGAGCAAATGGTATGTTTTGGAAAGGTTGTCATTTCAACTACAAAGGCATTCCATGAAATGATTTTTTCCCAGGCAAAAAGACTTTGAGAAAGCCGAGAAAGATCTTGCCATCGTTCGTGAACGTTTCAAAAATGGTGAGCGAGAACTGGAAGAAAAAAGAAACCTGTTGGAGATGTTCAAAAAAATCCGTGAGTAAAATCTATCTAAAAATACCTCCCTACAAGTAGGAACAGTTGCTACTCGATGATTCTTTTATTGGCTGTTTTGAGACAATGTTTACAAACTGTATGATGAAGAAGATCCGTGAAAGGAGGATACGTATCGATTCACGTAAATAGCTGAATCGCGGATTCTAAGAATACTTGATGCTTTATCGATAGGTTACTCAATAGAGTGGTGTATACAGTAGAACAAGCTCTTTTAATTCAGTTATATGCGGCTCAAAATCAGGAATGAATATTGCATGTTGCCGCCAATTCACAAATAACTAGTCTGTTGAAGCGAAATGAGAGAGAGAGTTATAAACAGACTGGATTGGAGAAGTAAAAACTACATACTAGCCACTGTCACTGCCACTGGCAATAGGAGCCATTGGCAATATGAAACGATTGAAATACATCTTTCCAAGAATGGAAAACAGGCAGTTATAAACGTCAATTTCCTTTTTTCAGTTGCAATAAAAGACGAATTCACAGGACTCAGTGATGAGGACAAAGTGAAGAAAATGGAAAGGTGGAGTGCATGATTTTCATATGAGACTTTTACGTTTATATTACGATCTCATGGCAGTGCCTTTAACCTTTCTTCGCTCCATCCTTTGAATCTTTTTCAGTGAATTTTTTTATGGATATGATGTTTTTATTCCCTGGACGAGTTAGATCGGGGAGCTGACAAGTTTTACTTATATTCCCAGAAAGACTTTGTTAAAAAAAAATTCAGTTAGGCCCTGTTGGACTCAGTTCGTCTAATTCCTTACTTTTAGTTTAACTTTAGGATTTTAGCAGTAAGTTAAGTACATCATTGTCCTAATGACCGAAACTAATCAGTGAACTTATTTATAAGAATAAAGGGTAGTTACATGGAAACGAATGCAGAATTAGGTGTAGGTAAAAAGACTTCTTACTTCTACTTCTTTCAGGAACTCTTTGTATTCCTATAACTTCAAATTTTTGTTTTCCACTACTGGGCTACTAACATTTCGGTGTCTCTTTCAGCGTCCTCGGTGTAAGCGCAAATCGCGTAAAAGAGGAGAAAGAGGAGGAAAAGAATAACACTCCACAAGTTGATTTAGGTTAGTATTTTGTAGTGCATTATTTCTCAAAATGTCATGAAAACACTCCGTAGTCGATCTGTGAGCTGAGCCAACAAACGTCAAAAGGAGATAAAAGGAGATTCATGATTTCTTACAAGCTATTTTGTAATTGACAGGCTGTAAACTGGATATTTCTAGAGCGAACACAATCAACTAGTTCAACTCCATCAGATTTATCAGAAGATGAATCATGCTGGGATGAACTCTGGGAGGGCAACGCGCAAATCAGCGACAGTGTCGTGGAACAAGGGTATCAATTCCAATGGATTCTAGAAAGTTTTTCTTTTATTGCGTGAAGCGAACCCAACGAATATTAGCTCCAGGTCCCTTCTGACTGACTACCAAGAGAAAGCGAAGTCATCAAGTGCTGAGTAGGGTCCTGTTCAGTTGAGGTTCAAGAAGCTGTACAGTTCTCAAGCATTCAATTTCCTCGCCAAAACGCTTTGATTGAATTTATGTGTCACCTCTACCATCCATGGACGGGTATCCCGGTAGGTGTGTACCAAACACAGTCTGATGACATTGCTATACAACCCAAGCAGTGAAATTTGTGGATTTTGTACTCCTCTGTGAAAATTGAATGACATTCTGTAAATAATTGTGAATTTTTGTTTGTCTGGGATTTCTACCATTGTTTTTGGATTTTTGATAACATCAGTGCCGAAAACTTTCCTGTTGTATTGGTTTTGAGTTGAAATTTTAATCGTCGTTATATTAATTCTGTTGAATGAATCATAATACCATTTCGAGGATATTCCTCTTCTCGAAGATAGCCAATTTTTAAATGGTGCTTCAATGTGTTGCTTTTTCAGTAAGGGACAGTGCTATATCAGAGTAACCCATCCAGCTCGGGTCAGAAGTCTGCAACACTCAAAATTGCATGTGATGTCCATAAGATCATGGCTACTAGACATTCTAGGCAATTGTAATGCACTACTTCCGTTTCCCAGGACAGATAAAAGCCTGTAGGGTTTACTCCGAGCTGTTTGAGGCAGGTACACGTTACTGAGTAGACCTACCTAGGTTTTGTCGTGAAGCATGAGTGCTATCTGCTTTGGAGCTTGTGGCGCGAAGGTAAACGAGCTTACTTAACGCATGGGCTGCAATATCAGTTAAATCATCAATTAGAAATGAGTGGGAGGCTCGAGATTTTATATATAACATTAGGACAGCTGCCTCTATCTAATACTGTGATTGTTTCGATACACTACGGTACCATCTTTCAAGAAATCACAAATTAATGCGAATTCTTGCAAATCAGAGTTAGTTTCAAGAATCTGTTTACAGGCTGTTGGTGAGATAAAAATGATGTTGCCTGGTTTGACGAGCCAGACGCTATAACTACTAGAACCTCGGAAAAGACAGAGTTAGTTGGGCGGCCCAAGGGAACCTGCGCTATACCATAAGGATAGAAAGAATGCATTTGCTAACGCTATACATGACAGCGGAGGCATCAAGTAAATACACGAGTAAGTATGGAATAAAACCTTCCGATTCAAGACTCACTATAGAATTTCCATAAAGGGGACATGTTTATTTGAATTCACTTCAACATTTCAACAATCAACAACAGCATTGAAATATTCCTAAACATCGAGGAACAGTACGTATAACGTAGAATATCCGTATCACGCACACTTAACGACTAAGTGACATGGTTACATTAATAATTTATTAGTTAAGCAAGCGAACCTCGCATTCTTACAGCTATTTCTGACTCGCATGTAAAACTTCGTTTATCGCAATCCTATACTTCACTTTCTCTTCTTTCGCTCCACTGAAGGGCTAGCAGGACGGACTATTGATATGAAAGACCGGAACAACTCCATTGACCGTCCCTACAAATGAACTCATGCAAGAAATTAGCTTGACAAGTGTTTTAGGTAAAAAGGATGACTAAAAAATTTGTAAAAGAAATTCGCGTGCAGGTTAATTTGAAGGAATTCTGCAATATAATCCATATTCCATTTTCTTCACCCACGAAAGCAATGGAATATGAAGAAAAAACTGACTAAGAGATTTTAAAAAGGAAAAAAAA